TATCACCCACGTAACTGGGTGGTTAGTTTCCCACACTGCCCTGTAGACAGCTCTAGAAGAATCTCCATTTGTCCAGTGTAGACCTTCATGTCATGTACACTTGGAATACAAGTGTATTTTTCAACTCATCTCTACAGTGTACCTCTGTTGCCAACAGCACCTCTCCTGCCTTCAAATGCTGGCACCTGCTCTTGGTTTACTAACAGAAGACCAACATAGTCGTGCCTACTCTAAAGGAGAATTGCTCTGCATAATCTAAAACATGGGGCGGGAGAATGGCTGTTCCCTCACAGTGGTTCTTTAACCTCAAGTCAAGAGAAGGTTTCACTCTGTCTTAATCAGGAACCAAATGTGATAGCACAGAAATATAAATTGCATGTGTGTTTGTATGCACGTGTGTGTGTGTGTGTGTGTGTGTGTGTGTAAAAAGGCTTTGGGAAGATGTGATTTCATGGCTTTCTGTGACTTCAAGAGCATTATGCTCACTCCGCCTGTGTAGAAACATAAGACAACTAGTTTTAGTCCAGAGGTCTTTGAGTAGACGTGTACTATTTATAGATACACACATTTTTCAGATTCACAGGGACCTCCCACAGTAGTATTTCCACAAATACTATGATGGCATTTTAGAGTGCTAGGACCTATTCTTTCCTTTGATGAATACAAGCGTAATTACATGTACATTTTGTTGAACAGCTGCTTTTTTTTCAGTCATTGTAAACTATGATGTGTTCTTTGAAGCTTAAATTCTTAGAGAAAGATCTCTAAACCATTGACACACCCAGAATAAAAGTAATGATGGTCTAGAATATTTAATAAGGATTACCACATTCTCCATTATGATATTAATAAAAGAAATCCTTTGCACATTATTGAAATGACAAGCTAACTGTTTTAGAATAATTCTCTGAAGAACAGTGACTGAATGAGGCCCCGGGAAAGACTCCTAATTTTTTTTTTTGACACATGTGACTCTTTTATGTATTTATTTTCTTAATTTTCATTTGTCCTTGTTGATGTCTCTAAAATGAGGGAGAAGGAAACATCTCTATGTGTTATACTGACAGTGTGAAATACCCCAGCTCAATCCTACAGTAAGTATGCCTTTTTTTTGAATAAAAGAAAACAGATTCTGTAGTTTCTGCCAAAAGGAGCCCAGCTTCGATATTCTGCAGCTTGCAGATGTCATTTCGGCTATGGGAATGTCTTCCCTGAGAAGCTGCAGCGGGGCTGGAGGCTTCTGCCTATGATTTAGGTTGTAATTTTATTTGTGGAAATAAACCAATCAGGGAGCTCCGATTGTCTTAGGGATGAGGTGATCAATAGCACATTACTGGGTAGAGCCCAGGCTACAGGAAGTGTATTGAAGACTCCAATGCATGAATTATGCATGTCCTGCTCATTCTTTAGTCCCCGAACAGAATGACAGGGTTTGTGAAGTCGCCTCAGATAGTTTCTTGCATTAAGTGACTGCAGTGAAATGCTTAATATTTTCAGGCATAGAAGCAGCATTGACTCCAGCCAGCCGGGTTCGGGGATGTAAATCCACAGCTCACAGCCCAGAATGCTTGATTTGAAAGTATCGCTATGTAGAGAGCCAGCTTTGCAGGCTTATAACCTGTTCTTCGCAGAAGGTTGGCTGAAGGATGGGAGCGGCTGTGCCTGCCTCTGAGGTCACAGCTTGAGGCCCTTTTAACTTGCCTTCCGCTGCAGAAGAGAGACAGCGTGTGTCATAACTCTCCCTGAGTCTATTCAAAGGGACAATTTGAAACAGATATTATACCAAGATCGGCAGATGATTCAACACATACGGTGAGTCCCAAGATTTTTCTCTAGGTTAGGTAATGTGCTGAGTTGGGATTTAACGATGATGCGGTGCCGGAGGTAGAGAGACTCAGATCTCCTCCGTTCATCCGGCAGCCGTGGCAGGGCTCTCAATTATTATGTTAATTGAGAGATGGCATTATTTTATATAGTTGACAGTATGGGTGTGAAATATTTATTTTCCATGCAAAGGCTTTTCAAGAATGAGCAGGAACTTTGATGTATGTGCCTTGTTGAGATGAGAGCTGGTAGTCTGGGGAGGGGCAGCCCGGGAGTGAGCTGCTGTATCAGTGAGTAGAAATTACCTCCTACTGGCGAAGTTTTAGCAGGGCTGTGGCAGGGCTTGGCTCAGATCATTACCTCGATGTCGGCATTTCAAATTGTACAAAAAGGTGATCATACCCAAAATTCTCAGTTCCCCTGGAAGTTAAGGAAGCCACAGCAGGACTCTTTCATACCCAAAAATTGCCTTGCGTTTTTTTCTCTCTTGTTTTTTTAGCAGATGTAAGTAAATTGAACAATTTGGAATTGCATGTCCTTGAAGGAAGACCTTGTCAGAAACAGGACAGTTTGACTTTTTTTCCTACACTGCCTTTTCTTCTACTGTCAAGAACATGTTATTTCAAAAGGACTAGATCAATAGAATATTGTAAGATTTACTGGGAAAATATAAATATTTCTCTAGTGTTTTAAAAATTAAGCTTATGACAATTGTAGAGCTCCCTGTATGAGACAAAGAAAATTTTCAAAAACTCAGCAAACTGAACACACAGTACTGAATATGACTATATGGGTCAGAGGTCTTTGTGAATTAAAACTGCTTGGTAGTTCATCAGTGCAGATAAATGTTTGGTACATGAATTCCTAAGCTTGTTTTTAGGTTACAGAAGTAACATCAGTAAATATTTAGTGAAGGACTCAAACTGTAATGTTTCTTAAGGATACTTTTCCATGTACATTTATATTATTAGTAAACATACATGTAGAAACACATACTATAACTCATAATTTACAATAAATATAAATATACTATGTATGAAGCATATTTGTTGAGACTAAATTTTAACAATGTGTTTGTTAAATCATCTTTATGAAACCAACAGCAGAGAAATCCAATTTGATTTTTTTTTTATTTAATATACAATGGGCATCATTTTCCTGGAAAACAAAGAAATCCCTAAGAGTGAGAAGAGGCCAGGAAATCCACTTCCCAAGCATTTCCCAGAGCACGGCAGTTCTGCCAGCATCCCTCCATCACCTGGGCTTCTGGCAGCAGCATGGTGTGGCTCAGACGCTGTCTGATGTGTTCAGTCTACAGAGCTAATCTACTTCAGTTACAGGAGGAAACTCACAGGTGGAGTTCTCCCGGAGGGAAGGGAAACAGAGGTAGAGGGAAGTACTTGTTTATTGAGGTCTCTTAATGCTGAGTCACAGGGTTCAGTTCTCAAATGCCTTCTGCCTGAGGTAGCCCTTAGAATTCTAAGGAAAATCCAAAAGGAAGAAGGAGGGGGCAGGAATTTAGGGATGCTGTTGCCCAAGGAGGTATAGGAAATTCTGAGTGGTGAGTGGAAAGAAAGTACTACGTGCAGCATATGGCTGAAGGAAAATTAAAGTAAATACAGAACAATACAATATGTTGATAGTCACATAAAAGGTAGTTTACAGGTCACAAGAGGGAAATGTGGGGTGACATGGGTCTAGCTCCCACTTATAACCGCAGTTAGAATTAATTTCTGTGGATGATCACTTGGGAAAAGCCAGCAAATTCATGAAAATTTTTAATCTCAACCTTAAAATAAATGAATTCTTTTGGTGATTTTAATGACAAGGTAATAATCATATTAAATATAGTCGGAAAGGGAAGACTGAAGAATATGACATCACACAAACGGGGAGGGGCAATGTAGTAGCCAAACATAAAATACAAAGTCTGAAAGGAAAATTGATAGAATTAGTATTTTATATGCATCATACTTCTTAAGCATCAGTGTTTCAGTATTCTGAACATGGTTCATTAAGTCTTGATAATTCATTTGAAAATGTGTTAGTAATTTAGAGTAAGAAATCAGGTGACATGAATATCTCAAAATGATAAACTTGGAAGTTTTCTGATACAGAATAAGTATGGTATAGACATGAAATAGATCACTTTGAAATAAGTCTAAGGTGAGGATCCTGTTCTCTCATCCACCTTCCAACCAGACTCCATGTGTTTTAAAAGAGCCAAGTGTGAGGTGCTCGTCTCTCACAGTATCCATGGGAATAACAGGTTGTCTTTTCTCTCTCCTTTCTCATCTGTTCTTATCAAATCTAAACAATTAACCACTCTTAGAACAGATAAAAAACTCCTTCTTAGTATAAAAGTAGCACACACATGTATAAATAATTCAGCTAAGTTTGTGGGGCATTGCAGGTCACTTGTGGAAGATTAAGAGACATAGCAATCAATATTTGAAAAGGGATATTGTTTCCATTTTCACGAACATTAACACCTATACAAATTGCTTATATAATAACTTGTATCTGCAAGGAAGTTCCCCATAGGGAATTCAGTGGACTGTCCTGAGCTCAATCCTGACAAAAGTCTTCCCTGTATGAACTGATAACAAAGATTGACATGGAGAGACTTCATCTCCTTTGATCTCCCATTGTGAAAATGGTAAGAGTAGCCCCTTCTAAAATGTTTCCCTCAGTACTATATGAAATATTTTTCATCTATACTCCTTTTTAAAGATTTACTTATTACATTTTAATTATGTGTGACTGTGCCTATGGCATGTATGTGTGCTCCCAGAGGCCAGAAGTGATCATTAGCAAGCTTGGAGCTGGTGTTAGCTACAGATGATTGTGAGCCATTCTGCATGCCAGCAACCATACTTCTTAACTGTGAAGTCATCTCTCCAGCTCCAAGAAATGTTCTTTGAAATTGACTGAGGTGGGTGGTGATGTCTGCCTGAAACTCATTGAATTTCAGGCCATAGAGAAAGACTTTGCCTCACACAAAAAAAATAAAACATAAAAGCAAATAAATAAAAAGGAGCTGACTGAGGCTTATGTCTTTATAAGTCCACTATGGTGCCCATTTTACCAGCTCATCCCCTTCACTCCATTTCTGTAATTGCTTAATACCTTTCCTCTCACAGGCAACTTAGTGTTGATAAGTACTTAATTAGCATCTAATGTGTCCTCTGGCTCCAGATATGCAAAAGAAGATAATGGACTTGATTTTTCAAAGAGACCAAATAAATAAAATGGAGGATGGAAACCTGTCAGCCAAAAGTATTTGGTAAAAATCATGGAAGAAATGAAGACCCGTACTCCCAGTTTAAAAGTGGATTCTACACTTGATCTTAGCCAAAAGGCCGAGAAGCGATTTAAAAGTGGATTCTGATAGTAGAATATTCATTTGAAGTATTGATGAACAGGTTCAAAGTGCCTACCTGAAGTCAAACCTGAAACAGAGGGATGGGACAGTAGACTTGAGAAAATGATGCAGCAGGATACTACACCTTTCCTGCCAGAATAGTGTTCAGGGCTTGATCTTGCACATACTTAGCACTCACAGACATTGATCATCTCACTGAAGACATTTGCAGCCATGAAATCCTCCACCCATGTCACATAACTCTCAACATTTCTTTTTAATGGTTGTCAGTCATTTATTCTCTGTGTTCTGATTATTTCAATTTGCTGACCCTGAAGGAACTGCCTTTAATACAATTAACCAGTATCTAGAATTAGTAAACAACTTGAAAGCATTTTTCAAGTGCACTCTAACCAAAGCAACACCCATACTATTACAGTCTCCTCATCCTGGCTTCTTCATTGGGCCACCAATCACTTGCTGCCATCCACCAGTGGGAAAAGTGGAGGATAACCAGTTTCTGTGTTCGAGCGATCACTGAAATCAAACTAGCCCATCTTAAGCTCTCCCCCTGACCTCTTCCCTTGAAAGCTAAGCAGCCCCTCACTCACTCTGCCTTCTGATCAGCTTCTATTTATCTGGGCAAATCTTCCTAGTGTGCGGTGCTCTTTTCTCTTAGAATCTGACAGGATAACAAGTTGACTTTTGGATGACCAATGAGTGTCATCTCATTTCCACATATTCTATCATCGTCAAGCTTAAATAATAAAGCCTATAAAAAGCAAACATGAAAACATCATCTTAGTGTAATATACATCGGCATAACTAGGGCAGTATACTCCCAGGATTTTAACCTAACTATTTTATTTACCAGAATGGCTTTTAACAAGACTGTTGTTTCAATTTAAAGATAAATCCCAAGTAAGCCTCCTATAAGCATGACCTTAAGTAGTCTCTGAGTCATAGTCAATAGAGGGTAAATTATTTAGAAATATGAATGCCTAACAAAGTATAAGATTGTTAATGTTTTCCCATGATTTCCTTAACTTCCAGTGTATGCTCATCTAGTACATGAAAACAAACCTCCACTTGTTAAGTAAGTATGTCAAAACTGAGGGGAGATGTATTCCTTATTTAATATAATTACCAAAATTTTGAAATTAAAAGTACCATGTACTAGCATTGTTTACATAAAGTCTTTGATATCTTATAGGCAACTATAGCACATATCTTAATTCAAACATATTTCTGGAGCATTAAGCTTACACAATTGAGTTGAATTAAACTGTTGTGATGATGTGGTATTCAAGAAAACATTGTCTCTAATCACTGAATACAAAACTTTGGACACAGTGAACCATGTACAATTAACAGATTGGACCACACAGAATGCAGGGCTCTGAAGAACATTATCAAAAAACATCAGTCCTTTTGAAGGGCAGTCACTCTGTTATTCAAGACATGGTCACTGAAGAATGTTGAGCACCGCCAATAATTTTAGGATGTAGAAGAAATCAAATGCTAAATGTGTGCTTGAGCTCTATCTAAGAGACTGAGTAGGAAGTTGTTATTGTGATTGTACTGGCCCTTTAAGAAATGAGGGTCTGGTGAGTGTATGTGTAAAACTTGCCTTGGTTTCAGTGAGGAATAGGTGTCAGGGATGTTCATTGTGTTAGCAGATGGAAGGAGAGTAAGGTAGGTGGCTGGGAGGGAAGCTGGAGGCGGAGTTGTGCTAGAAAGAACACGGCAATTTCAACAGATGGAGAATGATATATCAGTTGGCAAAAAAGGTGCTGGTGGCGAACAGGGGAAGCGACTGAAGACACGGGTGGGTAGGCAGCCAGGAGTGGGCTAAATGGACCAGTAATAAAAGAAATAGGTCAGTATGAGGGCACCAAAGTTCCAGAACAAATAGGTAAAAAAATCAAATAAAATCACTACAAAATTCTCCTGTGCTTGAGCTTGGGAAATAATGTTTTTAAAATGATTTTTTCTTACAGTCTCTGAAAATGTGTTAAATAAACCAAGATCGTATATAGAGGGAAGTATTTTTTAAAAAAATATTCACACATTTGTACCATAGAGGAAATTGATTTTATAAAATTATCATGGATATTAAATTAATTTTATTCCTGAGTTTGGTGTTTTCTGTAGTATGATTTTGTTGGCCTTTATTATGTTAACATGTAAGTATCTGGTTGTAAAATAATACTGAAATAAATTATCCACAGGATAATTAGTTTGGCTTCTTTCAAAAAGAGACTGTGAGAGTGGAAAGTGTGAACACAGCGTCATCCCTACAAATGCCTCATTCTCTCTGTCTACAAGGAGTGACAATAGCTGTGTGTTCATTAAGGTAAAGAAAATGAGCATGTGATTTGTCCTGTTTCTGCCTTCAACTTTACCTACCCATATCATCACCGTGATTCTTAGGAAATATTTTTGCTTGCAAACACTTAGGCAGTTGAGTAACATAACCAAGCTTCTTCCTGTTGGCAACTGTCACTAAAGATTAATATGAAAATACCATGTTCAGTAATATTTGTATTATTAAGCCTTGGCTTAATAAAGCCATTACAACTGAGCTTTAAATGCCTGCATGGGTTGCAAGTGGAAAGAATACTCCCCTTGTCCATATACAGGAATTTAGCATGGGCATTCTTTCTTATATAAAAGCTGGAGCAAACTCTTTAAGCTAAGGAACCCTTTATGGAAAACTGCCCAGGTGCCAGGCACGATAACAGACATTGAGGAAAATTAGGATGTATAAATTCTCAGTTCTTTCAGAGCTCAGTGAGAGGATCATAATTATGTATTAGTATCTCAGGTACAACTATGAAATGCAGCAGTGTGCCCATTTTGTGAGTCTTTCGGGGTGTGTGTGTGTGTGTGTGTGTGTGTGTGTGTGTGTGTCTGTGTGTGTAGGAACACATGTGCAGGTAGAGGTTAGAGGTTAGAGGTTAATCCTCAAGAGTGGACCTTTCCTGCTACCATGAGGTCCAGAGGCTGAACTTGGCTCATCATGCTTGCACAACAATCACTTTTGGTCACTAAGCCATCTTGCTGGCCCAAAGATGTGGTACAAGAGCCTTGAACTCCTGATTTTCTACCACTATACCCTGTCAGCATGTGTCACAATGTACCTTTTGAGATTAAAGACCATACTATATTCCTAACTCAGAAGGTACTTATTAGGACCTTCCTAGTTCACTTGCTCTGTACAGAAGTATTTCACTGTTGCCATGGACAAATCAGGAGAGAAAAGCATTGCAAGATTACTAAACAACTACAGCTCTCAGAAAGACACACAGTCACCAGTACAGTGAGAAAGAAATGGATGTAGCTAACATAGTCATCATCCAAGAAAGCTTTTTAAATATGGCAATTAAAAGATGGGTAAAAAGAGTTTAAAATATTTATATAATGGTTTATTCATTATCATCAATGAATTAACCATTCATACACACAAGAGAGATGTATTTAATTAACACAACTTGAAAGAAGCAAGGCCATGCTCTGGGCTCAGCAGTGAGATACTAAAGTTTCTCTTCTAGATTCACATAAACTTCTAAATTTTCTTAACATTTTTTCAAAACCTTCAAATGTCCATGTATTTATCTACCAGTAATATTCCGCATCCTATGTAGTCAAAGGTTTATCTTTCTTTCATGTAACCTAAATTTTAGATAATGGAACCAGTGCTAAGTTAAAAGTCATTTTTCAACAAGCTATTTTTAGTCAGAAGGAACTCAAGATTAAGATTAGAAAATAGGTATTCCATAAACAAATTCTAAGTATAAAGATAGGCTACTTTGCTCAAGTGTGGAAAATTCTACTTACAGATAAGGAACAAAATGTTAGTTAAAGAAATACATCAATTTTGCAAGATGTCTGATGTGTGTGTTTAGCTGAACACCATTAATGAGCTTGATGAATTAGACATGTTTGACCCATTCACATTAATGAAATATTGATTCCTTTAAATATATATTACTGGTAAGAAGACCTTTTTAAGCATCTATCCTTTTAGAGGTTTTTGGAGGCCTTCTTTGCAACCTCCTAACTCCCATGTCAAATGTTGCTAACCAGGAAGTCTAACCAGGGAAATCGACTAAAGAGGGCAGTCTACTAACCAGGGAAATCCACCTACAACGGGAAACATAAAAGGCATCTCTTTTGCTTTATTATTGAATACCCATTGTCTAGTGTAGCACCTTATGTAGCAGATGCTCAATAAGTACACCTGGAACAACAGATCCTCTCAACTATTCTTGTTACAGTGAATTTTCAGACAGTACTTGTTTAACTCACACTGCCAGTTCAGTAGACTTTTAGTGGTCCACTGTGTTATCAAATGCATGATAAATCTTGTAATAGTGGAATGTTTTTCAGTGGCAGACACATGATTTTAAATAGCTTCAAAAATAATATATTGAAAGGATATAGTGCACCATGATTGAGGGTTTGTATAATCACACGTTGAGGAATGGCTGGGATATAGCTAGAGCAAATTACACCTGAAAATGTGAGTGGTGCACCACTGATGTCAGTTCCCTGAGCATGGGCTTCGACATCTGTGGAGAACAATCTCATGGTGCTTCAACATCTTCATACCTTTTCCCTCCAGTGATTGGTTTTTCAATACCATTTTTTTAAAGGAAAGGTGATGCTGTAAATGTGTAGTTCTGGACACTGGAATGAACATGGAGGTTGTTGAAATATCAATTTGAAAATTTTAATGTAAAAACATTGGCCTTAAAACTTAATAAGATATTCTGTTCAACAAAAGTACTATATGTAGGTTAACAAAAGACAAATTAGGCTCATGTATGAATCAATGAATGCTAGAGATTGTAATGGATAATCTTGGTTATCAACTTGACCATACCTGTAATCAACTAACATACAAACAGATGAGCATGCCTGTAAGGGATTTTCTTGATTGGATCATTTGAGGTGGCAAGACTAGTCCTCAATCTGGGCCTCACATTTTAGTGACAGCCAACATGA